ATTTCTTGTTCTATCATTTCTTCAATTCATCTTTGATTTGGCAACAAGCTTTCTTAATACTTTCAGATTTTACTGTCAGTTATCGAATCTTACCGGTTTACAACGTTCACAATAATACAGTCTAGCCATATATCCACGTGTTTCTAATTTATGCAACACAGCGATTTCTTGATGCAGATAATTAATTTTCGGTCCTCGATCGTATTCTATCTAGCGAAGATCAATTTCAACAATCAGAGATCAGGACTTTTTCAAAAACTTTTCTTTTTGTTTAATAGCAACGATCTCATATAATATTCCTACTCTTTGCACATTTTTAAAACTGTGATAGGTAAATTTTAATATACGTAATTTGGAGAAATGACCATATTAAGTTCAAATACTGTCCAAAACAATATCACTTTACCCGGTTTACTTGGATTGATAGTTAAATTTTTTGCCGTTTTTGAATGACTATAAGTAAACTAAATTTTGATTTGTAACCATCATATTCTAAATTCTAATTTTTTTTATAAAATTTACAGAAGGAAGTGAATTTTTTGCAAAACCTTTATGCAATATTTCTGACGACTATCAAGTTTATCTTCAACTTTAAATACGGTACTGTAACGACCCACTGATAATGTTTCGAACAAAAAGCGTCCCTCGATAATTGTTCCAGGTGCTAATCGAATTGCTAACGGATTTGTTTTGCTCATCATACTGCAATACAGAGAACTGTTAACATGTCTTCGCCCCCTTACTTTCAGAAATTTTATTTATACAAAATGTATGATGAGTTGACTGATAAGCTTTGTACATTGATTGGGTAACGAAGTGACGACATTAGACGATTATAACGACATTAGACGACATTATAACGACATTAGATGACAATCATGTTTTATTAAAAAAGTCAATGTAGTTTTTTTAATGTACAGGAGGTTTCCATCTAAATGAATCGAAATGATTGTGAAACAAATAAGCAATATAGAACGGTAATCGCTGGGATGGGGAATTTTGAATACAGTGATTATAACAATTTAATCATCGTAACACTTGATAAAGTAATCTAACAGCTCTAATCATTCCAGGAATACGATGCGATAATTTATCATGGAAATTACAGTGACTATTTTAAAATCAAAATTTAATTGTTCAAAGTGTCAAACAAACGCACCATTGATTTTTCATGAATAAACAATAGCAAATAAATGTAAAGCAAAATTATTTATACGATTTAGTGAAATTTGCATAAATGTAAATATAAACAAGTCATCTGTCTTCCAAACTTTCTCATGTCAGTAAATGAACCTTCTAACTCCTTTATGAATACAGTGCACGTTCTCACGTACGTCATATTCTAAGCATTCACTGGAATCATTTGTTAAAGAAAAACGTTTGGTATTAAATGACAGACAAAAGACATTCTGTACGATATCACTTTTGCACTTCTCCTCACGTATGTTTTTTTTTTTTTTTACGTAAAGCCTTACAAACGGTGTGTCGAATTACTTATCTATTTTAGGTTCAAAAATAGAGTAAAAAGGAATCAAAAAATATAGAAATAATGCATGACTACTCCATCATTATCTATGAATTGTAGGATAAAAACTCGTTTAATTTACAAGACTACCTATTTAAAAGGTAAAATATTATCTTGCAAAACTTTATTCGAACATATGTAGGGAAAAAAGCAGCAAATGAAATCAGAACTGTTGAAATTCGTCATCGATGTCATTGCAGAGGACAACTATTACTCATAATTGCGGTAACCACCCGAATATAAACATTTCAAAAAAACAGAAGACAGAATTAAAAAAGCACTTTATCAAATGAATGATATCTATTCAAACTGGTGATGCAGATTTTATTTTTAATATTCACAGTAGATGAAATTGCAAACACTTTTTTTGCTCTTTTAAAGTTCAGTATTGTGTTGAAATTAGTTAAGGAATTTCTAAATCGATTTATTGCTCATAAAGAATAAAAAGTGAATTTTCTCAATTTCGAACGAAAATTTCAACATTTTATGAAGTTTTTAAAATAAAATACAAAAAACAAGAAGGTAAGGGACATAATTATTGGAGCAGTCGAATTGTTTACAAATAAGCAGTGGCTTCTCTGGTAATAAAGGCTAAAAGTTATTCGATAAATAATAAGGATCGAACTGTCACTTGTTTCTTTTTCCCAATTACTGTTAGCTAAAAATTTGCAAAATTAGTATGAAAGTTGTGAATTTTGATTATGATTTCCATTTAATTCTGTCGTCAATTCCATTATTAAATGTCAAATGAATGCAAAAAAGAAAAGAATATTTTTGCACTTTTTCATAATATGCATTCAGCTCATTCAATTGATCACGAAATATTTACCAATCATAGAAAGTTCATCATTATAAATTATCGTTTCATTGCTTATTCAAACTAGTTTTTTTGTTATCCAGTGCTGGAAGTGATACTGGCTTGGAGGTGTTTGCTGTTAAACTCGATAGTTTTACTGATTGCAAATCCTGTAACAAAATATCATACCATTTTGATTATTACAAATGGTTGAAATGAACACTTCAATCATTTTAATCTATCAGATGTTAAATCATCGCAGTTGAATTGAAATGAGTTGGTATCGATAAAACAAGAATAGTCGAAATATTTTATTTACCAAAAATGATTTAACAGTGATTTCACAATTCGACTGTTCGAAATCAATTGATTATTTTATCAAACATCATCGCCCTAATTTAAAGAAATGAAACCTGAAGCTTAAATGAAAATTAATTAGAATCGAGTTGAATAGGCAAAGTACTTGTTTTACTTGTTCTGATGACGATTTCATATTCTGTTTCTTCCCAGCCTCATCTGTTATGGGATTTGATGACTTCGAGATATTACTGTCATAAGTAAATAAGCCATCCGAAAGAACTGGTCTTCGTGGTCCGATCGGCTTCATTCCCACACCATATTTTTCTCCATCACGACGAATAGTCTATAAAATTCAAAATTCATAAAAAAAAGTTAACAATATTTAAACTATCATATACATATATCCATCTTTTCTTTAAAATTTATTAATAAATAAATTGGATCAGTTTCAGTTATAAGTTAGCAAATAACTGAGAAAATTTAATATGCGACAAAATACAATAAAATGATTATGAAAAAGAAAAACGATTAAACCGCATAGAATCCCAATCGACCTCTCGTTGGAATAAATTGTAAACCGGAAATTTGTGGCCTTGGAATTTGTACCGGTTCCATATTACACAACGAATCACGTACTGCTGCCATTTATTTATGTCACTATTTACTGCTAAGAATTATTATATTATCACTAATACGGATAATATCTGCAATAAAATGGGAATTTTTGAGAATTTTTAATTTGTAACAAAATATTTTAATATTTTTGCAGGAATCAGCTAATTATCAACGTTGACATAAGGGAGGTGAATAATACACATTAATTATATTGATTGTACTGTTGTCAGTTTTAATTAGCAATAATTACATTAGTGTCAGTTTTAATTAACAATTACTCAACTGAATTGGTAAAACAAGAAACATCCTCAATTTTCGTAACCAACGCATTAATTATCATAAACAAATGATTAAGCATAATTAAAAAATTTAGTGATGTTTGATAATTGAGCTAAATATTGATTGCAATAAATACTTTTATACAACATAAAATTTAAATATACCAATTTCCGCGTAAGCCTATTCAGGTTAAACAGCTAATCCCGAACGAACCATATTCATTGTTAGAGATATATATATATCCATATATCCATTACTATATCTCAACTTTTCTAATTATTATTGAAATGAGTTGACGATGATAAATTTAATCATCTCAACAATTCTTCTCTTCGAATTTAAAGAAATCAAAAGGGAAAAGCACAAAAATCAGAATTTCCAGTTGAATAATACTAAATATGCAATATTTCTCCAAGAAGAAGTCCGATAAGTAAAAAACTCTAAAAGTTTCTAAATTTTGAATAAATATATAAACTTCTTGTACTGTACTGTACCATTATTCCAGAATCTCTGCAACTTATCATGTCGCAGTAGGAACGATTGATTAAATAGATTATATTCGAAAAAATATTGCTTTTGATGAATTAGTAACTTATTTATCAAATGTATTACAACTATTAACTTAATTAAAATTTACACGCTATTTGGAAATTCCTTTACTAGCACTAGTAAGAATGTTACAATGATATCATTTAATACGCTTAGACTGATTACGCTATCAATAGCCCAGATCATTTATTCCTGACATTGGATCATGCCATAGCTATGTAATATCGTTCGAGAATCGTTATTATTTATCAAATCGTGGCAGGAAAGACTGATTACGCAGATAATATTCAATCAAGTATTGTTCACAAGCATATCAAATTTGCAACAAACAACTAGGAAAATTGAGAAAAACTGGAAATCGAAAAATAAAAAGAAGGAAATAGAATCTGAATATTACTATTGTTACATGAAAATGACCTTTTTAGTGCATTCGTTTTTCAAGGTCACAGTATTATCTAGCCAGTTGATACGATATTGAATGCAATGATATAACTTTTAAAGGTATTGTGAAATTGTGCTTGAAAATTCAAAATTGTTGTAACTTTCAAATAGAGAAAAATTTGCTAGATCCAATTAATTAGTTGATCATAATTTAATGAAATTTTTGCTGCCAAGAAATTCGTACCATATAATTATGTCTTCCTTTCCATTTCTTTCCAAATAAAGATAATATTTTTTTCTTTTTTTTAAAGTAGCAATGGAAGGAATACTTTCATTAAACTAATAATCCATTTATTTGAAGAAATTTTGATTAATGGAAATTGTTGAAATGGCTTCACTACAGAAAGAAATTTTCTAATGTACAAGCATTTCTAACAAACAGATAAATAAGTAATATACAGAATATTGGGATAAGATGGGGAATTGTGGATAGATAATTACCAACTCCAAATTTAAATCAGTATTTCAAGTTCCAAATTTAAAAGCTAGTGAAAATGTTACTCGGGGAAGCGGCAAACATGGGCTTAAAAAAACCAGTGCAAGGGAAAACTCGGGAAAGTAGTGAATGGACTGCCATGTAGAAATGATTTAAAACAAGTGGTATTGTTACTTTTTACTTACTTTAACAAAGTACTGAGCAAGAATAACTTCGTGATAAACAACAATTGAATAAACGACCTGATATGCAACGATTAAAAACTAAATTGAATCGTTTATCAATCACAATCATTTCGTGATTTAATCGAGTTCAAAGAAAAAAACTTTATGATGAAAACAAAATGAAGTAGAATAGAATTTCTTCTATGCCAGCAAGTATAAACGATAGAATTTGGAAATCGACAAGGAGGTCTTCAATTTTGGTTTATATGAAAATTCAGTCATAAGAGAGGGTGAAGCACAGTAAGTAAAGGTGGAAGGATATTCGAACTTATAAATTATACTTATAATATAACTTATATACAACTTATATACATAACTTATACATACATAACTTATATGCACATAATTTATACACACACTTGTAAATTCAAGGTATGAGAATATTCGGGGAAATCAATAAATACGCGGTAGTAGTAGTAGTAGCAATACGGTAAACAACTGTTGGAATTGGTGTCCATTCAATATGGATTGTGGCATTTTATTGCGTTGTATATGGATATGAAAAATTTTTTTTGGTAAAACTTTCCTTTTGAAATGGAAAAAATGATTTCATCATTTAATTTCGAAAAAATTTTAGGAAAAGTAAATAAAGGGAAATAACAGCAGAAAAATAATTGTGGTAAAAACAGAAATTATGGATTTTTGAAGAGGGGAAAACAGAAGAAGCAATTCCTAAGTAAATATGGCGATTAATATCTGGTAATGATTGCAGCAAAAGTTGTGATGAAATAAAAAAAAGGAAGAGAAAAGAGAAAATCAATAAACGGAGCGATATAACAACAATAGTAATAAAAAATAAGATTAAAGTAATGATAGCAATAAAAATAATAATAATAATAATAAAAAATTTCAACAACTATCATGAAAAAAGAAAATGTCAGCAATATTATTAACAATACTATTAATGAATGCATTTGTCACTAGTGCTACTACTATAACGACATCTGTAAAAGCACTATTTCAATAAATTGTTCTCAAAATTTGTCTGTTTCGAAGCTCTAATTGAAGTAGCTGATCAGAATAAGCAAATAACACAGTGCGCAAATTGCTTGCATGTAATTAGTATAAATTAAATTATATACTTGCTATTTTCCCAAGCAATGGAAGTAATCGCCATCTGAATAGAAAATTGCTTATGTTCTCAATGTTTTCAAGGTTATAAGATGAGGTTGTTAATGTTTGCAAAGTTGCTAGACTAAAGTGATGACAAAAAATAAATGGAAGAATTAAGGTGAGATAAAATTTAGAATGGATTGGTTTTGGGAGAAACAATGGAAGGAAAGCACAAAACTAGACTAGACCAATCCAATCAAGTCTCTAATCAAAATTTCACAATAGTAATCGGAAAGGATTCATTTATTATTAGTATTCAAGGAAAAAGAGTAAATAGCAAAATGAAATTAATTTAAATTGCTTTATTTCACATCATTTTTTCGATTGTATATGCGGGATATTTCCTAATACAATCGGTTTACAAAAACGATACCAATATGAGCAATAATATTGACAAGCAAATGCTATTAACAATAAGTAAACAATTGAAAATGGATGGAAGATACTGCTGAAATTTCTTCTTTTTTGATTAAAGAATCTAATAATGGTGACATTAAAATCTCAGCTTCCTTAAATATGTCCTTCTGGGAAAACAACCGCATCCAGTAGTCACCATCACAATAAAAGTATCAACAACTGCATGAGTGAGAATGACGAGAAATGACAGTGAGAAAATGTATTGATTATTGTAGGCTACTGATAATGAAAATATGTTTAAATTTAATTGTAAAGACTTAAAGTTTCTTATCAATTGAAATTTTTGTCATTTGAAATAGTAAAAAACTATTGATATATTATTAAAAAGTCATTTTCAAGATATATACAAATCACTAATAGATCTTTTATTTATAAGTAAAATACGGAAATATTTCAAATCACTCAAGCTAAACTCTCGTCACAGCTTTCATTTTTTCATTTTAAAAAAGAAAGTTCAGCAACAGATGTCGCCGGAAAAATACTTTCAGAATACCAATGAAACTCCGTTTTTCCTTGAATTTTTTGTAAATTCTTATTTTACAAAGTATCCCAATGCATTTCGATGATTTTAGATTAAATTGAATGTCCCTCTCAAAATGTTTTTTTTTAATTCCAAAAAAAGTGATTGCGTAGAACAATGACTAATGTCGGGAATTTCATTAATATTAATTGGCAATATCCGGTCATCGAATTTCATTAATTAATGGAAGCATAAGTAATACTTCGAATATTTCTGACTATACTCCTACTACTACTACTACTACTACTGCTATGTGCAACAAATGAATCAAAAGAAAATGAATCGTATTTGTTGTTTGGAAGTACTTTTAATATCGACAAATCTTTTTTTGGCAATCATTTGTAAACAGGAAAATTAATATTACAAAAGTGTTGAAATGTGGTAATTTAACCGAACATTATTAAAACACAGAAAGGGAAAAAATGAAATGTTTTCAGGTGAAATGAAGTATTTCACGTGAAATGAAATGTTTCACGTGATAATTTCGGAACATCATTGTGGGTGAAGAGATAAAGGTCAAGAAAAGGAGTTGAAGTGAACTTCCCTTCCACTTAATGAATGTAGGAATTTTTGAATACTTTACATAATTTAAGAAATAAGAATTTGCAGTTTTTGAGAAGTGAAGAGGATCATTAATCTTATGTGAATCTATTTAGTAATGGATGAAGAGCCAAAGGGGAAGTTTAACAAGCCTTAAACATTCTTATGCTTAATGATTTGTGTTATCAAACATGGCGAAAAACAGAATTCTCCTCCTGAACGCTATTAAGAATTATAATTAAGGTAAAAATTAGGAATTTAAAAACATTTTAACCAAAGATGCAGGGATCAAAGGGAAACTTAAGTAAGTTTTAGTCATGACTACTCGAAGGTAGTATCTTGAAATTGAAAATTAGTGTTACTTTGAGAATAACAACTGAAATAAAGCTCTTTGTCAGCAAATGACAAATACCGCGTTAAACTTAATTGTAGTCATGATATTGATGTGAAATTCTTACAGATAACTTTCAAATTTTGTGACTCATTTAGATAAGAGATTTAAGAGTGGAGC